ACCAGGAACTGCATGGAACGGGGGACTGCGTCACTTCCGGCAGCGGCACGGGAGCGGCTCCCCACCCCTGCCAATCAGGCCGTTCCTGCGGGGGCGGAGCTAGAGGACTGCGCCACTTCCGGCAGCAGCACAAGGCACGGGAGCGGCTCCCTCCCCCTGCCAATCAGCCCGTTCCTGCGGGGGCGGAGCTAGAGGACTGCGCCACTTCCGGCAGCAGCACAAGGCACGGGAGCGGCTCCCTCCCCCTGCCAATCAGCCCGTTCCTGCGGGGGCGGAGCTAGAGGACTGCGCCACTTCCGGCAGCAGCACAAGGCACGGGAGCGGCTCCCTCCCCCTGCCAATCAGGCCGTTCCTGCGGGGGCGGAGTTAGGGAGCTGCCCCTGGAGGACTGTGCTACTTCCGGCAGCTGGTGCCTGCCCTCGTGCCAATCAGAGCGCGCTACCCCAAGGGAGCCGCTCTCTACGTACCGGAACAGGCCACTGTGGAAACTACAACTCCCGGCTGTGCCGGGCCGATGTCACTTCCTTGCTCACCCACTTCCGTTTCCGCCCCGCCCGTCGCTGTTGGAACGGAAGCTTTGGGCAAAGGCCCCTCGCCCAATCAGGAACGCCGGGCCCACCGCTTCTCTGGTGCGCAGGGGGGAGGGGAGCAGGAGGTTAAGCGGGCCCGTGCGCAGGGGGGAGGGGAGCAGGAGGTTAAGCGGGCCCGTGCGCAGGGGGGAGGGGAGCAGGAGGTTAAGCGGGCCCGTGCGCAGGGGGGAGGGGAGCAGGAGGTTAAGCGGGCCCGTGCGCAGGGGGGAGGGGAGCAGGAGGTTAAGCGGGCCCGTGCGCAGGGGGGAGGGGAGCAGGAGGTTAAGCGGGCCCGTGCGCAGGGGGGAGGGGAGCAGGAGGTTAAGCGGGCCCGTGCGCAGGGGGGAGGGGAGCAGGAGGTTAAGCGGGCCCGTGCGCAGGGGGGAGGGGAGCAGGAGGTTAAGCGGGCCCGTGCGCAGGGGGGAGGGGAGCAGGAGGTTAAGCGGGCCCGTGCGCAGGGGGGAGGGGAGCAGGAGGTTAAGCGGGCCCGTGCGCAGGGGGGAGGGGAGCAGGAGGTTAAGCGGGCCCGTGCGCAGGGGGGAGGGGAGCAGGAGGTTAAGCGGGCCCGTGCGCAGGGGGGAGGGGAGCAGGAGGTTAAGCGGGCCCGTGCGCAGGGGGGAGGGGAGCAGGAGGTTAAGCGGGCCCGTGCGCAGGGGGGAGGGGAGCAGGAGGTTAAGCGGGCCCGTGCGCAGGGGGGAGGGGAGCAGGAGGTTAAGCGGGCCCGTGCGCAGGGGGGAGGGGAGCAGGAGGTTAAGCGGGCCCGTGCGCAGGGGGGAGGGGAGCAGGAGGTTAAGCGGGCCCGTGCGCAGGGGGGAGGGGAGCAGGAGGGGAAGTGGGCCCGTGTGCAGGGGGTGTGTATGCACAAAAGCACCCCCCATAATTCTCCAAGTAAGCATGCTCCAGATGGCCAGGGGAAGGCAGGAGCCTCCCTCCTCCATGCTCTGACCAGCCAAGGGAAGGCTGTGGCTGATTTTCCTGCTTACTTGGGGGACTGTGATGGGTGCCGTCACACCCTTGCTGTACACATTTACCAAAAAAAGCGCACACGCCCCTCTTCGCCACCTCCTCCTGCACCCAAATTCCCTCCCATAGTTTTGCCTTCATAGCTTGCACCTCTCACCCCTTCCCACACCCAAATCTCTCATTCCCACCCCAGAGCCCACACCACCTGTCTCAACCCAGTGAGAGTGAGTAAGAGTTGGGCACAGCAAATGATGGAGACGAGGAGAAAAGAGACTGCAGGGCCTCAAGGAACGGGTGGGATCTTGGGGAGGGGTGGTAGATCTTGGCTTACTCAAACACAAAAAGTGATCTTGGGTGTAAAAAGATTGGAGACCATTGTGTTAGCGTATATGCTCAGCTGCTCTTATTTCAAAATAACTACTCCCCAGAGTAATTCAAAGTAATGAATCCCCAGTGTTCTTGAGGCACTGTATACTACAGTGTTATTTCAAAATAGCAAGGGGTGTGTTCACACAGCAAGCCCCTTAGTTTGAAATTATTTCAAAATAAAAAGCTTCTTATTCTAGAATAATAAATCTTCATTTCATGCAAAATAATGCCTATTTCAAAATTTGTTATTTTGAATTAATTTCAAATAGCTCTTCTTTGTAAGGGGAAAATACCCTAACGTCAAAATTGTCCTTTTTAAATAGCTTTAGTGTGTATGATCAGCTGTTATTCCAAAATAACTACTCTCCAGTGCCATCTGGGGGGTTCTAAATCACGGTAGCACACCCTCATTAAGGGAGCCTACCTCAGACTTCCCTGTAGCGTGGACATGGGATTTTGA